TCTCTCCCCCCCTCTCTCTCTCTGTCTCACACACACGCACACACGGGCACACATGCAGATACTTTCATGCACTACATTACCACTCATGTCGGAAGCGTATAGCGTGTCTCGGGTGGGGCGGTGCCCCGCTTTGGGAGATTCCTTGAGGAGGAAAATTCCCCGACGTTTAGGTCCGCGCCAAATCTCTCCATCCAGTTGGGGGGGCGAGGTACACTGCCACTTACCGCGATAAAAACATTCATTAGCTGCAGCTGCACAGGATGCGCCAACGCTGGCTCTGAGCTAACTCGGCAGATGTCGCCGTTCGGAACGCTACTTGTTGACTTGCGTTGACGTATTCATTAATTGAATGCTGTTCTTGAAAGATGAAATTGCCCACGATGCAGATCGATAATGATATGTAACTCATTTGCCTGCACACGTTTTTATCGCCCACCTACGCCAATAGATCATCAGGCTTAAAGCAACACGGCAATCAATTATATTAAGTCTATCTAGTAATAGACTCACGTCCGTTGGTACTATTTCCACAGTTAATTGAAGGGACTTGCTTAGAAAAATGTGTTTTTTTCTGGAGTTAAACCATTAACTCATTGTTATAAATATACGAAATTAAAAATGTAAAACACACTTTAATATATGATAATAGATTTCAAAGAACTAAACCAAATTGAAAAAATGGGGCATACTCGTAGTTTTTCTATTGACGCATGACTTTACAAAGTATAAGGTTGTTTTCCTGTTGATAATAAGAGCCGAATTGAACCCCCCAAACATATGTTTTTCCTTTTAGTACTTGTTAATATTTCGAAGTCGTATTTACATTTTTTTAAATTTGTTTTTAATTGTTAGTTTTGAGACCTATTGTTGGTGAAAGGAATAACTGGTTTCCTTCGTCTAGTTTCTCTGTTTTCTACTGAGAAGAAAGGTCTCGTAACCTTGATTGATTTGTCAAAATTCGGAGATTAAAAGGAAACTTTTACTTGTGCATGCTGCTTCGGTGTTTTAATCCTCAATGTTTTTGAAAGTGATGTACTACCTTCTAAGATTTACGTTTGCGCGAGCGACAATTTAACTTGAGAGCGTGCAGTGTTTCTTAATTTTTAACTATTATTTTTCTTAAATAAAAGCAAAAAGTAATAATAATAATAATAATAATAATAATAATAATAATAATAATAATAATAATAATAATAATAGATACAATTAACAAAACTGCCTGAAATTCTGGCAGGTCAAGTTATCTCGATGGGACAGAGCTTCCTCAGTTCGCCATAGAAGGATGTGGAAAGAAAGGGGATGCCCTACACTAGCACATGTCGCACGCCTCTCCGAATGCGAAATACTCGGAAAGGCCTAGTAAACCAGGGCATCAAGGCCATCTCTCGAGGGAGGGATAGTGTGCTCGATGCAGGAACTGTAAACAGCGTCCACCGCGTTTGGTCTCACGAACAGGCGGTGGTATTATCAGTTATTATTTTGTATTTTAACTTCTACAATTATGTGGGTATAGAACTTTAATTTCACAAACCAAACATTGAAAGAATAAAATCATCGGGCACAACATATCGTTGTTACAAAAATATCGGATTTAATGAATTGATGTTTTTATGGAAACATCCATGTTTTGAAAACCTAGACATCGCATCGTACGCCGATCTCATTGAAAAAAACAGCATTGATATGTTGCGGCGAGAAAATAAGTGGGGAACTGTCGACAACAAAACGAAAGCATCACTTTACGAGAAAACTTTATTGTAGCAAATACAGCACATGAGGCATTATTTTTCTACATTATCACCACAGAAAAAAAGAGACATTTGTATCCTTCAGGATAAACATTTGTATCCCTGTGTCGTTGAAGTATTCGCCTGTGATAGGCTCCAGTGTCTAACGGCCTGTTGCGTCGCTGCGATAAGAGAAATGCAGCCCGGACGTTCCTGTGTAGTATTGAAGAATTTGCGAACGTTCATTTAGATGAAGTGGACATGAACAATGCAGTTGTCGTGCTGCATGTTAACACTCAACCACACTCTGTTCAGAGTGCAAGAAGCAGATGTGTCGGGGGTGGTTCAGTAGTACGTCAATTGAAAATTAGACGTTGTGCACCACCTGAATTGAGACTTCACATGCAGTTGGTCATATCGCAGCTTTATTCGTTGTCACATGAAATGTCATTCTCGGTCTCTCGCTCTCTCTTTGATCTCGCTTTCGATCTCTCTCTCGACCCCTCTCTCTCTTGATTTCTCTCTCTCTCTTTCTCGATCTCTCTCTTTTTCTCGATCTCTCTCTCTCTCTTTCTCGATCTCTCTCTCTTTCTCGATCTCTCGCTCTCTTTCTCGCTCTCTCGCTCTCTTTCACGATCTCTCGCTCTCTTTCTAGATCTCTCTCTCGCCGTGTGTAGGAGGACGTGTGCCGGGGCGGCCCGTTCGGAAGTAACTCAATGAAGAACGAGACGCTGTGCACCACCTGAATTGAGACTTCACGTGCTGTTGATCAGGTGACCCGCCTTACGCGTCGCCACGCAAAATCTCTTTCTCTCTCTCCATCCTCATTTGTGGGAGGAGGAGGAGGAGGAGGAGGAGAAGCCTCGACCTCCATTCGCAGGTCCCACGACCCGCGGGGCCCCCGCCTGCGTTGGCGGCGTCGGCGTCGGCAGCGTCGCGTGAAAGGGCGTCCGCGTATCGCGCGTCCATCGCCAGGTCGCGCCCCCGACGCCGCCCACCGCCCGCCGCCCGCGACGACGCGTCGCGACGCGCCGGCAACGCCCTCCCCCCCCCGGCGCCCACCCGTTTGGGAACAGAGGCGGGAACAGGTGCCGGGGATTTTCGGGAATTTACTTTCCTTCGGCTCCACAGCCCGCTTTACAGACCCTTGGCCGTCCAGCGGCCACCCTGCCTCTCGTCCGTGGTGTTAGCACGCAGTCATCCCTCCACCGTCTTCTTAACCTCAGGGTGGGCTTTCTCATCATCACACGGCAATGAGTACTTACATTTCTAACGAAAGCGCACGGTTGTAATTTGCCGCGGCCGGGAAGTGAACTCGGGGCTGCGCCGTGGAAAGCGAGCAAGCTAACCAACGACCCACTGGGAGCCGGGGCTGTACAGAACTGAAAATAAAGGAATAAAAAGTGAAACGATAGTTAACGAGGTTAAGAATAAAATAAAAGGGTGGCCTGTCCCGGGAATAATCGGAACTTTACTTCACGGTAAATAAGGGAAATGGAAAATGAAACTGTGGTTTACGAGATTAGGGTAAGAGAAAGCTGAGGTGTGGTCTAGGAATATTAGGGTATTTCCATTACGGAAATTAACGGAATGGACAACTTTATCTGCAGAATGAAACGATGGTAAGAAGATAGTGAAGCGTGTATACGAAAATACGGGAAAATTGGTAACTTTACAAATTACGGAACGGAAAACGTTACGGAAAATAACGGAATGGAAAATAAAAATAACGGAAGTTTGGAAGGAAAATGAAGCCTTCCTCAGTGAGTACTTCTTCGGCAGTACGATCTGAGGAAGGCCATAAGATGTTGGCCGAACCACCACGACAGAGACATGGCTCGTCCCGGGTAGCTTAGACTATATAAGACAGTACGAGTTTCAATCCTATATTCTTCGTGACCGATAGAAGAAACGTTTTGGTAGAGCGTGTGTTAAATCTAGGCTTGCTATGAGTTGCGCGAATTGCCAGTATTATAGTATTTAGAGTCTTCGTCAATTTCATGTCATTTTAAAGATTTGATTTATTTATAAACAGTATCAAAAAACTGTTACAAGGTACCAAGAAACTTAATTTTTCAGATAATATTTATTGTGGTTCTAATGCCGTATCGTTGATAATACATCAAAACTGAAGAAATCTTCAGTTGTTTTTGAGATAATTTCAATGAAACAATAAGTCTTACAATGCCTTTTTTAATCCACAAGCAAGCATTATTTCTATACAACTGTAAAATTTAAAAATCACAAAAACAAATGAAAAGTAAATCTAGTAGTTTAATATAGTTTCTGAGCGGGGAGTGTAGTTTTATATTTACAGTATAATCGTCTTTAGATACCAGTTTTACATGTTTTTTTCTATTTTGGCTAACACGGTTAAAAATAACCAGCAGTTTTAATGACCTAGTAGTTCTTTATTAATCACATTAGAGATATAAGTATCGTTTTTTTGGAAGTGGGAGAGATAGTGACACAAGGCCGATAGGCACAAAGGGATCATTGTATTTTTTTATTTAATAAAAAAGTAAGTAAAACAATCTTTAAAGTTCTAATTTAATCTCTACTTCTAACAACATTGTCTTTATTACAAACAAGAATGTTACACGCCACAAAACAAAAGCCTGACGATGATAATAACCAAAGAGAATCTCGAAACATAATAACAAATATTTGGAAAAGTATAACACAATTAAAAATCACTTTCTCCCTGGTTGTCAAAAATAATGGGGTCGAATATTGTAGATTGAAACAGTTCCATGAATTTGTTTTCCGATTCCACCTCCACAAACGTGAGGCATCTCCGCATCTGGCACTTCGTCCTCCATCTTGTTTCGCCATATTCTCCTTTCTTGACCCAGGGGGGAGGGGTTGAGTCTCACCGGCATTCCGAAGCTCCGCTGCGAGTGCTTGCACGGCCCCCTGAGAATGCAATAATAAATTCGAAAGCACTCCCCTGTCCGCGGGCACTGACGTACCCTCTGCATTCAGCTGTCCCGAAGGACAAATCTCGTCGACTTACCTACACTGCACTTCGCGAATGGAAAGTTTCACCGACACAAGACGTCATTGGATTCAACTCGCGAAATTTATTTGATACAGATACTTGAGGGAGTTTTTCCCTTAGGCTGAAACATTTCCCTACTCTACTTTGGACTATGGGTTTAACAATGAGTATATAATAAGTTGGCTCAAATGCTTAACAAGTAGTATTCAAGTAGTAACAAAATATAAGTAATAGGTAAACCTCGCAAGTCATTCAATTGCATATTTTTAGTGATTGCGCATATCAAAAAGAAATGTATAAAACTTTACCTAAAACTATCACTAAAAATGAAACAACTGTAGCCAATTTTTATTTTGAATAATTGCATATTTTTGAGTTTTTTTAAAACTGCCTATTAATATATGCTGCATATTTAAGTACATATATTACAAGTTATTGTGGGTCGAAGTCAGACATTTTCGTGAATTTTTCTTTCAAAAAAATATTTATACTTCAATTTATTAGTAGTGGCTCTTGATGTAGTTTAAGGTGACATCCACTCGTGATCTTCTACGTCACCACAGTGGTGAAGTTCACTATGGTGACGTTTAAGCCACCGATTGGATGACATCGCAACAGCTAATGTGCGTCAAGTGCCATTATAAATCATTCGAAGTATAAGCCATGCCAATGCTACGATACTAACGATTTTTTTCGATAGTCTTCTGGTACGATTGTTTTTGCTTGGATCGATTTACTTCCTGTAACTTTATTCGTGAGCAAAAACTTAGTGAACTGGTTTGAATGATTCGGCATCTTGTAACATCGCAATTGGTTTTCTCGCTTAATAACTTTTTTGCTTATTGTAATGTTTGAAAATATATTTTTGTTATACACCTTTTGTTTTACAATGTAAAATGAAGATTACCTATAAATAAATGTTTACTGTTTCTAAGTATATTTTAGTTTAACGCATATTCTTAATTATAAGCGTGTATATTGCCAATTTTCAGAGTATCTTTGCATGCATATTTTTAACTTTTTTATTGCATGAAGTTCCGGTGTCTAGTAAGAAGTAACAATAAGATACTATTGAGTTAACTATTAATTATTGTCGTATGTAGACATTCTATTAAGATGATGATTTTGTCTCTACGTTTTGATCGAATTTAACCTCAACAGGATATTGGAAATATAGCAATCGGGGAAGAAATTGGAACCAACGAAAGTAAGAAATAGCAATGATATTAAAATTGGCGAGAAAAATTGGCTTTAAAATCCACTACCGAAAAAATTGCCAATGCGCCACCCAAACCTATGCACTACCGAAAAAGTTGGTTAGAATATATCTAGTGAAAGATTCAGGAACGAGTGTCCTGCAAGACAGCAAGGTAGGCTCCTGCAGGAAGAAGAAGTAATGGACGTCCTAAGAAAGGTCAAGAGATCTTCTGCCACAACTATAAATTCTTGTGCAAGGAGCGGACAAACAGCTTCAACTGAAGTGTATTAATTGACCATAATGACCCGGGTAGCACTCGGGCTGCTCATGGGTTGCGTTTTGTATGAGGCGGTCCCGGGTTCGATTCTCTGTCGAGGCAAAAATGATGCTGCTGCTTTCTAATATAAATTGTTTCAGTTTCTATAGCTATGTGACGGAAGAAAAAGCTGAAACAAGGCCAAGCATGTTGGTTGTCTCCTTTACCCCTAGCGTGGACACAATGCTAACTAGCAAAAGTTAGATTAATCCAACAATGGAATGACATACGATTTTGTAACTAACGATTTCTTGTTATTTAAGGTCGCATCAACTTCTAGGTCATTAGCGATCACTATTGCGTGGTAACTATGAGAATGACACGATATGGTGGTGATGATGATGCTAGGGGGTGAAAGGACGAACACAATACAACCATGGCTAGGGCGGGACTCGAACCCGCGATCCTTCGGTCCGAGATCGCTACGGCACTACTGCCTTATCGATCTAGGCCATCCGGGCTGACTAACGAATTTTGTTTACCTCTCGACACCCAAATCTGGTTTGCAGTCTACTTGGCATTTTCTGTGGCTCCTAAAGAGGATCACTTCACAGGCTGCCAACGGAAAATCCGAGAAATAACGTAGCTGTTTAAAATGTGTAGAGGTGTAGAGGCCTGCTCAATAACACTGCTCCCTCAACCTCAGTCCTATTCTCTGATTTGTGAATATTGTGATGTTTTAAAAATAAAAATGTCAAACGCGTGTCTCTCATCATTGAAAATTGTTCATGGGAAATATGGGCAGGAAATAAATCGCTATATTCCTTGCCCTATATGCAAGTTCGTATTCATAACCATCTGTATGTCACTAGTAAATGTCAACCTTTACAAAGGAAACAAACTGTATGAGTACTTTGTATATATTATGCAATGGTATTGCTATTGTAACTAAGAATATTATTTTTCTGGCTCTTCTTCTTCTGCTTCTTCTTCTGCTTCTTCTTCTTTCATATTCATCTCTTTCAGGCCATTCACAATATACTGGATTTAACGTTTTTAGGCTTACCACATTTTGTTACACCCAGAATATTATTTTTGTATCTTTTAGGCATTTTGTAGTTCCCATTCTCTGCACATATAGTATCTAAGATCCTATATGATCGACTTATAAAGGATATTGATGATTATGCTGGTATGTGTGGATGGGCGTGCCCACTACTGAAATTATTTATTCTGTAAGTGTACTGCATGTTATAGAGAAATGATGGTGTATCTCGAAATCGAGACCCGGTACCAAACTAGAGGTCAACTTGTGAGTCTCCCTCCACCTGTCATCTTATACCACCCAGCTAATCACCCAGGTTTGCCAGATTGGTGAATTTTGTTCCCAAAATGTTTATTGCGTAGGGGGAAAACGGACAATATAAACGTATAGGGAAATGTTTGGGGATTTTTTGCGGGAATTATTTTCATCCGGGGTCGAGATA